TATTGCCACATCTCAATCACCTATGGAGAATCTAGTTGTTGAGATGCGCGGATTGCGTTGAGACACACAGGAGTTATGCAGAGAAACACAAGAGCTACGTAGGGAATCTCGACGTGAATCTAGACGCAATGATTGACTTGCACATCGAATGGACTCATTCATGGAGTACTCAATGGAATTCAATTCCACACTAGTCCACCTATGTTTCCCGAATACACTCCCGACTCAGCGGACGACGAAGACGCTGACAATGATGCCGACTAGCAAAATCTCAGGGAAGTCCTCTGTCTTAATTTTTCCTACTTTATACATGGGAAGTGGTGAGTAGAGATGGAGCGTAAAATGCACTCACTCATAAACACATGTTGAGAATGAGATGAAGCGTAAAACGCACTCGCTCAATAGGAGGTGAGATGGAGCATAAAATGCACTCACCAACTGAATGTAAAGAGAGAAAAATAAAAGAAAGAGTGATAGATAAAAAACGTTGGACCTTCTAGTTATATGGTTGCCTTAATAAGCAGAGGTTGATGTGAACGTAAATTCATAGAGTTGATATTGAGTATCTCCTATGAAGCATTTGATTACGTAAATGTATCTGGGTGATGACTAGCTTGTTAGTTCGGATATGTCCATGTATTTAAAAGGTCATGACTGGAGGTAAAATTAAGGAGTATGTTGAATTGATAGACTTTGCACTATTTTGAAGTTTCCCACGAATTATTTTTTTGTAGTAACTTTTGGGGCCATTATTCATATTCATATTGATCCATTATTTGAGTAGTTAGTTGGTTAATTTTTATAGTTTTTTCTTTTAGCATTTTGCTTGAGGACAAGCAAGGATTTAAGTTTTGGGGTATTTGATGAGTAGGTTTTATACCTACGAATTAAGTACTTTCGGCTTAATGAAATTGCAAGTTTTCAATTATTTTATGTTTATTTTTATTTGTTTTGTGTGTTTTGATGTTATTTTGTAGGAATGATCATTTAGAAGGAATCATGATCAATTGGGAAGAAACAAGGTCAATTTGGAGCCAAAATGGTGGATTTTTGGAAGAGGAAGCTAAAGGACATGTTAGGCCTGAAAAGGGGGGCGTGCCCCTGCACCAACCTACTATCCAATTGGCGCCCCTGCACTGATTTCCGGCGCCCCCGTGCTTGTATTGGTCCGTGACGCAAATTTTTCCTTATTTTTTTACCCGAAATTGGACTCTAAAGTTACATATATACTAGGGATTGTGTAGGGAAAGGATATCTGAATTTTGGGGGATGAAAACATTTGAAAAGACCAAGGAATTGGAAGAAAATTGAAGACAAAAAACGAAGGAATCGACACAAAGAAGATTGGACTTGAAAGCTAGAGAAGGGTTGAAGATTGCAACTAAGTTTTCATTCTTTTCTCTTACTTTTAATTCTGAATTTTCTAAGATTTTGTTCAATTTTAGAATGATGTAATTCAATTACATTACGCAACGGAACCTATGTCTAGTTAAATTAATCTACGCTCCTTTCTAGTTCTTATTGATCTTATATGAGTTTTTTGTCATATTTTGTGATTGATGTATGATTGTGTGGCCAACAACTAATTTGATAACCTAGATGAAATCTAGGTTTAGATCCAAATATGATGACATACGTCTAGTTAATTCTTCTTAGGATTGAATTGTTGGGTTTGTGTATAGGATAAGAATATACCTATATGCCGTGTGTAACTTTCATGAGACTTTAAACTTAATGAATCTATTCCAAATTATTTTGCATAGGAATATAGTAATTTAATTGGGAGAGATAATTTTATCTAACTATCAAAAGAGGTTTGATAAATACTTTGAGTTCTCTGTTAACTACTTATTTTGATCAATTAATAAGAAAGAGAGTTAGAAATGTTTATACGAAGCATTAGGGGAAGTTGTAATCTTAACTTCTTTTATCCGGTAAATTCAACCTTTGATTATTAAATTTAGGTTTAGTTTTTAGTTAGTGAATTTATAGTTTAATTTCAATTGTTTAAATAAAATCGAATTGATATAAAGTAAGTACTTGGAAGTTACTAGCAATATTTCTCTGTGGGAACGATACTCTACTTATCACTTTATTACTTGTTGATCGTGTATACTTGCACGTAAATTGTCATTATCAAATTTGGACAACATACTCCACTAGGAATAGCTAGGGTGGTCGGATAATCTTATTACTCAAGAGACGTGTTGAGATGTGTGTGATGTCCCCCATGTGTAGGCGGAACTTACAATTTATAGGCAAGTGAAGTTGGCCCCAAAGGGCTCTAATGGAGGCACCATCTTTGTAACAGGGAGCATGATGATTTTGTGAAGCTTGCCCTATATATGTAATGGGTGAGGTGATAGCAGGATAATTTCTTGAAGCTCGTCCTACCTCGTAACGAGCAAGGTGAATTTGCAAGACTGGCGATGTGCCCCTAATGACTACGTCCCTACGAATTCCCTCCTTTGAGATGGAGACTCCCACGTGCGATGGTGACGGGCTGGGTTTTTCAGGAAGATGAGCTTCAGCCCAATTGAATTTCTAACTGGGCCTTTGTTAGTCTACATCTGTGGCCTGGGCCTAGTCAACAATTTTGGGTCTGGCCTGGACCAAACCCATCAGATATTGTTCCTCCGGTATTTTAAATTTCTTTCATAGATTGCTTTTTTTTTTTTTTAACAACTTGGCATGCATGGTATATATAGTGATAGTGGCATATTATTCTATTATTTACATCACTAAAATGGTGTCCATTATTTTTGAATATGTGTAGCCAAAGTGGTGATACTGATAATGTAGACAACTATGTTTATGATAATATTGATACTCTTGATGGAGTTTTAAGCAATGACATCGAGTTCTCATGTTGTTTTTTTAGTTTTAGTAATGCTGAAATATTTTGGGTGCAATTGTCTACCAAAAAATTGTTTTCCAGTGACATAAATCTAGTTTTTTTAGGTCTCATAGCATTATAATTTTTAGTATAAAATAAGTCGAATCATATCTTAGTATATCTAAATTTTGACAGGTACTAGTTGCATAACAGTTGGTTTGACAAAGTAAGTATTGGTTTGTTTAAAAAGACTTGCCTTACCAACTGTGATCAATAGAATTAGAATGTGATTATATTGCATCAATATTTGTAGAATTCTCTATAATAAAGAGGATTGTAGTACAAAGAAATAAAGTTTGGTACCTTATCTCCTAAGTTAATTTATAATTTTTGTGAGTTTTGATATAAATTTTTAAATTTTTTTACAATAAAAAAATTATATATTTTTGATTCTATTATAATTTTTAAGGTTTGAATTGAAATTTTTTAAGGCTTATTACCACAAAAGTTATAAATAACCTTCACAAATAATTAAAGAAAACCAACAATTTATAATAGTGGTATAGTACCAAATTTATATTTTCAATATCATAAATCTCTTGGTAAGTTGTATTGTTAGCGCATCTTCAACCATGACTCAAATTTTATTCAAATTTAAATTAACATTTGAGTAAAAAGTTTGATTTGACAGAAAGGGCTCAAATGGACAAATTTAAATTTAAAAAGGAGAAATCCAAATTTAAATGAGGACAAACCCAAATTTAAAAAAGAGTAAAGTTGACAATTATATTTTGAAAAGATGGTGAAATCTTGCCATTAAAAATTTGAGTAAGATTTGACTCTCCCATTATTTGAATAAAAAAATGAGTTTCTCTTGATTTCCTCTAAGTTTGAGTTCAAAGTTAGAGATGCTCGTATAATAAACATTCTATAAAAAATTGGGAAATATAATTAGGAGGTAGCGAAAGAGTAAACAGTGAGCAACAAGTCTACAGTGTAGTTAGCTAAAATAGATAGTATAGTTTGAATAACTTTGTAAAAATAGTTCTTTGAAATAGAGAATGTAATATAGTCTGAACCTTCATTTACTTCATTCCTCATATAGAGAGAGCCAACAAGAGATCAAAAACGAAACTTCATATGCCAAACTAAGCCCCAACCTCCCTCATGCTAAAAACAACTAAATTACTAACCAATAACAGATTTCCCCCAAACCAGAGAGCTCTTCCAATCCCTAAACTTAGATCCTCTAACTACCATTAGAAGCCGGAGTCACCGTACCCACCGTAGGTGGGGGGTTAAAAGAGGTTGACACACGTTTCTCTACCAAGGGTAATCGAAGAGGGTGAGTAGGATAAGTGGATGGGATGGAAGGAACTCGAGCAACCTGTTAAAGAAGGGACGAATCATTTGGGCATAGGGTAGGTGAAAAATACTCTCACTAGCCATAAAATCATCCTCCGCAGTGGGCAAGTAATGTGGGCATTTATAGCATAGTGCTTGAGCAGGTCGAGCTGCCCAAAGGGCTGCCTTCCATGACCCCCTATCACCTATGCCAACCTACAACTGCCTCGACTACGATGATACTAGTGGTCGTTAACACAAGCCATGTGTCCCAACATTAACTATGCAGATGTGATGTTTCTCCAAACATAACCTGGACGTAGCCCTGAGGAAGGTGCAACAACCAAGGCGAGAGCGGGCTCTCAAGGTCCATGACAGCGACTAGTCACCATGGGACCATGACCTCAAGAGGGCCATGTCCGTGATGCCCCCCAGCGTGCCCCTACCCGGGTTCCTTTTTCCCTCTCTAGACCCTTCCTTGAGACCTTTGTCGAGGTGCCCAATAGAGAAAACTCACATAGTTTCGGTCCTTCAGCCACCAATCCACAAGTCCCATCATCCTATATTAGCATCTGGGGCAATAACCCCATTAACCTTAGGAGTCTCTCTGAATCCCAGTCAAGCTTATCCTAGTGGGCAGTGAGCCATACAGAGGGAGGTCTGCTTGAGCAAACTAAACTTTCGAGATTCTGTCCCAAACCGAGGTTGACAATCATGCTCATCTACCCCTATTGCTCAATTCTCCCTTGAGGAGGGCCATACTCCCTTGTCCCTAGGTGGGGATACCTCTTAGTCCAATGGGCCAATCAAGCAACAACATTCAATAGGTTGAGGATACCACTCCCACAGTGGTGGAGGCGAGTCTTGCTGAGGTTGCCCCCACACTTCTGCGATTCCACTTCTGTCCAATCTTGGTGAAAGGTCCATTTTGCCAATTCCAATGTTTTGGAGATGCATCTCGCTCTGATGCAGTATTTTTCTTGAGGGTGTCGCGCCTAGGGGCATCGTGCCCAGTGGTGTCACGCCTAGGGGAGTCGCGCTTGAGGTGTCGCGCCTTGGGCATCACGCATGACATTGTTATCTACATTACTCTAGTTGATGCTGTTAGACATCATTTCCATATCAACTTATAATTGTTGCCACTTGTCCTGTTAGGGTGAAGACGTGTCATAAATTTTTTGAGTACTACATTTGCCCCCTGCGCGCGCCAGGTCACAAGAAGCGTCCTACGCGTGCACATCATTTTCTATCTGCACTTGTCATTTGACTTTAACTATTGCTTATGAGCCGACTGTGGTGCTATAACTAGAATTTTTCATAAAATTGGTCCAAGTCCTTTGTCGTCATTTCTTTATTGCCAAAAATATTTCTCTATTGCTAAAAATATTGCCATGGTTAGTTGCCCCCTACATGCATGGATCTTCTTTTTGATGAGCGTTGCAAGTATAATGGTCACGAGGACTTGTGTATTTCTGTCCTTGTGTAATTTTGGACTGCCTTTGCGTACCAGTAAATCCACTTGGATGACCCACCACACGAAAGAGCTAAGGTAGGGTCAGTCGAGGTTTTGAAGTATACCTCGAGGTATTGGCTGAGGGGCTCAATCAAGGTTGTGCCAAGCACTTCTCGAAAAATGAAGCATAAACGTTGAAGATCATAACCTTTGGTTTTGAAAATTGCCAACACTATTCCTTGAGCATCTCGATTTAGGAGGCTGGTTGCATTGACCATATCAACATGTTGCGTTGACTGTGGTTTTGGAGAGAAGGCTAGCTCAACTGACATGAGGTCTAACCCATTGACCAAAGTCTGGCCCCTGATGTGAGGCTTGAGAGTCAGTCGCGGTCTGACAGAGATCATAGTTGATGGAGGTCGCAGCTAACATGAGACTTGGTGACGCTTGTGAGAGCCTAAATAGACTGACAATCGAAGTGATGTGTCAACTTAAAGGGAGCCTGGATTGGCTGTTGATGTCTACATTAGCCCCCTTGTTTGATAGAAGCGTTTAGGACAACCACTTATATCAGACACAATAAAAAGTGTCAAATAAATCCCAATCTACTCGAACCACTCCAAGGCAAATAATGACCTTTCGAGATGCTTTTGGTTCGTAAGTGGAGCGTGAAGAATTTTCAACAATGAACCTCCATATTTGGGAAGGTGCCAATAATCAAGTAATTGCGCCACTTGGAATGTCAAGTGTTTTGGATGAGAGAGCCTAATATGTGTATTATAGCGCTCCAAGAATACCATTGACCGAGTTCATTTCTACTACACTAGGCATATGGTTATATAAGCAGTTCTATCCTCTTAGTGATGGACTGATTGTTAATAGGCAAGATAGTTGTCGAGAATGTGTCCCCCCTCTTGAGCAATGATTAGTGCTCATAAATAAAGTGACCTTTGCACAACTGAAGTATAGAGTCACCATTGCGCATATGTACAAATTGAAATCTGTGGATATACGATGACCTCTCCAATTTGAGGTGAGCCTGTACAAGTAATGCCAGTATCCGTAGAAAATAATAAAACTCTTGTTGAAAAATACCAATATGAGGATGACCAAGAAATCCCATTTGTTGATCCAGACCATCGGCTTTGTGTAAGAACTTTTCTAGATCCCTGTCAGGGCCAACCCAATGAGCAGCGAGCCATACAACTAGAGGCCTGTTCTAGCAGACTGAGCCTTCAAAAGCCTTGTCTCGGGCTAAGACTGAAAATCATGCTTATTTTATATGTTGATTCAAACCATCGACCCCTTTATTAGAGTCTCCTAGGATCCCAGTCAGGTCCGACCCAATAGGTAGTCACCCATACATTGGGTGGCCTGCTTCAGCTGACTAAGCCTTCGAAGCCCAGTACCTTAGGCCGAGACTAAAAACTGTGCTCTATCCGCACTACTTTATGTTAAAGGCGGCTGAGCAATAGTGTACTATTTTACCTCTGAGCGTATCCAATTACCATTTATGATTTTTGTGGTGGGAGCGGACTAGCAAGGTCACTCTAGGATTGCCCCCAGATGCTCGCAGTGCAACTATTGGCTTTTTGGAGAAGGATCCATTTACCATTTACCATTTCTAACGCGATCTGCTCGTGGTGCCACTCTCATTTTTTGAACAAAGCCCCATTTGTACTTCTACAATGAAAGGCAAACTTTGTGTCATGCATTCTTCTCAATGCTCACGATGTCATTCTTGCCTTGTAGACAAGGCACTTTGGCCTCTTAGATGCTGCTTCGGGTAGTGCTTCTAGGAAGTTCTTGGATGGAGATAAGGCCTCCAAAAATATGGCAAGAAATGAGATGTGCAAAACTATCGCCTTTGAGAAAAGAACTTATTGGGGTACAAGATTAGCTAATAGAAAAGCTATCACCTTTGTGTAGAAAGCTCACAAGATTATGCTCCACGAAAATATTCGAGCCATGTGCTAGTGTCATAAGACTAGTTTGAGGAACTCAAGAGTTTGGTAAGAATCAAGGAACCCATTAGATATCTAAGCTTATAGAGGACAAGCTGACCATTGTGAGCCTTATAGGTGCCTTGAAGTCATGCAACTTCCTTTAAGAGAGGTGTGTGCCGCAACCCTTCCATGGTGTAGCTTCATTTGTGGAATAGGTAAGTATAATTGGAGTGAACACCTCGACACGGGATGCTTCTGTGATTGTGACCCATTATTGGTTCAGTAATGTGCTCCATAGCGTCGCACTTCAGGATATATATGCAACATATCAGTTACAGCATAATTTGCATGAACTAGGATCCCTCAAAATAATTTCTTTGAGCATGCTACTCCACATAGGTCTGCCTCGAAAGAAACTTCGAAATAGTTTCTTTCTTTGAAACAAGTTTAAGGAATGTTAAAGTAAAGAGCTTTGTCGTAAGTGTCATTTTAAAACTTTCATGGCCATTCTTCATAAGAAACCCACATTGTGGAGGGCTCAAGTTAGTTGCTGCTAATGGAAAGGCACGCTGCTCGATAATATGGTGCATCATAACCCGTATAGTAGCATCGCATCAAGGAGTGATTTGGAGAATTACTCACGTAGCTATAGAATGAGCTCGCAGAGACAAAGTACACCCACAATGTGAACATGTCGCTCGAAGTTATCTATGGTCGGCACTTGTTTGACCTAATGAGCTGAGGGTTTTCGGTTGAATAAGGCCATAGTGACGAATTTGCCATAGTAGTGTTTGGCCAAACAATGAGGTTGGTCGGACCTATAACCATGAGAATTTTGGGGGCATGAATTCTCAAGATTTCTGCCGTAAACTTGTAGAACTTTACTCGTCATTAGAATACTCGAGGAGTGAGGTACCAAAATGGACCCGGTCATGATGAAGGTATATTGAGGGAAGCAGCTTGTTGCTTAAGACCGCCTACTCCACTTTGAGAATTAGTGGGGTATACATCACATGAAGTTTTGCAGTGACAGGTGTGCAAAATTCAAGAGAATGCATATGAGTCATTCTAGGAAGCTACTCCATTTTAGTTTGCTGCAAGATGTCCGTGGCCCGAATTGCAGAACTTATTGACCAAGATTCTCTAGAGGAAGGAACCATTCTGCTTGGCAGACCTTATTAAGAGTCTAGAGTAGACCTTCTCTGAGTTACTATGCAATTCATCAAGCAACAATTTGCCTTCAAGGAACACCACGGATGGTGGCCACTTTTTTTTCCATATTCTGGTGTCCTTAGAGCATTGAGAGAATAACTTCCTTGTCCAACAATGTGTATGTGACATGTCATGAGAGGGCAGGATCACCTCGAAATTAGTTGTGGTAATTTTGAAAATTTAGAACCATGCAAGATTTCCATATTCCATGGCCACTTCTTGAGCTTGTCAAAGCCATGGTTCACTAGTGGGAAGTGCATTATTATAGGTTGCCCTTAGCAATGGTGTCCCTCGCATAAAGAAATGTCATTAGTTAGCACAGGTGGGATAACAATCATTAAAATATCTATCGACATTAATGAGCCCATGAAAATGCAAAGGCAAAGCCTTTACTGCCCAATTAATATAAAGAGGATATGACCACGCGTCGTGATGGTCCTGAAGTTTGATATGGGGTACAAAGTTTCAAAAGTGTAAAATAATTGTCCAAAATAACTTTAGTACAATATACCTAATTGCTATTTTTGTAAATTTGCCCCATCTTTCACATATCTGGGCATGCTCATATATTTATATGGCAATGTAAAACTCATGCGGAATAAGGCCAAAAATCATTTGATGCCTCGCCATGACAAGCAATATTATCATCCCCTTCTCCCTTTTTTTTTTTTAATAAAAATAGTTGGAGATGAGATATAGAGGATAAATCATTATGAGTCATACCACTATATGACAGCGCAGTAGTAATGTATGCTTGAGAATAAATAACTTGTAAATATTTTATGATGAGGCATGCAATTTAGAAAACCATGCCCATCTCTATGGGCCACCACGCAGGGTGGACAAATGATAATTTCTTGTCTCCATGTGACAGTTTTGTCAAGGTGGTGATTATTACTTGAATAAATATTTGCATATACATAACGTAACAATTCATGCAGGCATTCAATATAATAAAGATGGGTGTGTGGCTCATGTAAATACCGATGTGAGGAAAGGAATGAATCACATTAGAAAGTTTGTGTGTAATTCCTTAGTGCCACGCCATATGCATCCCTCAAAACCATTCATTTGCGAGTTACTCGGGTGGTGAGGCCATTTCGAGTGGTGCAAGTCATGGGTATTGTGAGGACCACGAGGCTTTTTTGTGCAATTTTTGAGCAGGTCCATGAGTCAAGAAGGCAATAGTCCGACTGAAGACATTTGTTGCGACTTGCGACTGTTCTTTTTTGTTTTTAATAAACATGGACTTGGCCAACCCACGGTGACATAACCGCTACCAAAGTAGCTATTCAAGTAGCATCCTTGTAGGGTAGTCCTTCACGTGCCACTTGCCAAGCTACAACGAGGTCCCAAGGTGCTTGGTGTCGTGATGGTAAGTCTCGCGGTGGTAATGGCGCTGCGGCAGTGGATCACGCGACTCACGCAGTAGACCTCAACTTGCTGAAGGTGATTAGCCTAACAAGTCTTTGTGGTCACAAGCAATAGGTACCTCAACAACCAATCGAGAAAGTATGTTCAAGTTCACAAGATATTTGGTGTCGCGGTGGTGGGTCACGCGACAGAATGGTGTCACGACTATGGACCATTTTTTCCTTGAATTTTGAAGTATATCAATAGTTGAACTCCATTTTATAATTTGAACCATTGGCAAAGAATGAATGTGAGCCAACCCCAAGGCCAGCGAAGGGACCTTGTTATATGAAGACCATTATAGATACCTTATTATTGTTCCTAGAAAAGGTGAATATGTCACGTAGTCTCTGTGGTCACAACATAAGCAGTTCGCCAACATACATGCCTAATAATAAGAGTGGGGACTATTTGCAAATAATAAAAACTTTATGCATCTCATGTATAGGCATATCTTGATCGAAGGGCCAACTATGCAATGAATTTTCTTAGACTGGTATGGCAACCCACTTGAATTATTGGTCAAACCAACGGCCGCACAAACGATTAGATGTTTCTTGCCGTACTTTTCAAAATCTAGATGATATTTTCTCTACAATACAGGGACCAGTTTCATGGCTTTCCCACATAAAATAATTGAGTCAAAGAGAGTTCGGCGGGTTGCAAAAAGACTCACTCGGTAGTGCAAACATATTTATTTGTTCATTTGTATACACATTTTTTTTATCCTAATATTTCTATGTTTCGGCCTTATTGTGTGGTCATATCAATGGCTTGGTACCAGGTCCACCTTATCAAGCTACTACCCAAGTTAATGGCCGCTCAAATGAGGCCCA